ATTCTCCGATTAAAAATTTCATTTTAAAACATAAAAACTAAAGCAGAGAAAAGTAGATCTATTGCCTTAAGAAAAAAGGAATTTGTAAATTTGAAAGGGAGAAGAAGTCGTTAAGGATTTTGCTTCCTTTGGGTTGTAAAACATACTTCCCTGCTAAGAAACCTTGTAGAATTTTTGACTTTGAAAAAAAAAAAAAAGTAAAAGTAGGACACTGCCTGCTAATCTAGCAAGTAGAGATGACCCAGAGGGACTCATCTCTGAAGATGGGTTTAGATTGGGTTTCTTGCATTGAGAATGAGCTGATGACCCAAAAACCTTATTTTAAATGCTAATGAGCATCTATTTAACTGAAAATTGCTATATTCTCAAATGCTGCCTGGGTCTCATAATCAGTAATGGGGATATAAGTTCCTATCTTTTTTTTTTTTTTTTATTCCTCTAGAATACATTAGACTGTTATTTGAGGAAGAAAACTGTGTTACTCCCCCCTACCATGAGCTCCAAAACTAGACAGTAGAGTTTCTTTTCTTTTTTTTGGTATATATATATACATATATATATATCATATAACAATATATATCAGGTATATATCATATATATCATAAAATTTTCTATTTTAACTATTTTTAAGTGTATAATTCCGTAATATTAAGTACATTCATGGTGTTAACTATTATCACTATTTTAAAAACTTTTACATCAGAAGAGAAACTCTGTATCCATGAATTTGGTACTACATATATCCAATGATGGACATTGGGGTTGTTTCTTTCCTTAAAAGAAAACAAATGTATTAAACTTTCCTGAATGGCAAAATTTGGCTTACTTGTAGTTAGCTTTAATGCCTATCATTTGATGTCAACTAGTAATTGAATTTTCTAGAAATGGATTTGCTAACTTTGTGGCTCTATAGGCTTCAGGCCAAAGACATAGCTGAACAGGTAACAATCTCCCAGAAAGAACTGCTGTTGTTTTTTTCACTGATGTTTGTTTTTTGCTTTTGCACAACTCTTTTGAAATGTGATGACCTGTCTTCTTCCCCAGTTGTTGTGGCCATCCTGTTGCTAAACCCTAGTAATTCAGATTTCAAGTGGTGTATGTTGACTATTAATTAGTATGCCAATTAATGTCATAGTTTATAAATCAAATTCTTCTGGCTGGTGTCATTATCCAGGCTATACGTGTGACAGCAACATGAGCTTAAGGAGTTGCGATTGATGGGATTTGATTTACTTGGAGAATTTGCCTGCCCAAAGGAAGCTCCTCTTTCCCCTTACTATAGCCTGTCTATATTCTCTCCCTTCGTTGGAGATATTATTTACCTGATCACCCAGAAAAGACCCCCAGGACTTCCTTTTTCTCACCCCTATTATAAATCCCACCTGTTTTGCCTGGTGTAAGCATCTTTCAAATCTCCCCCTCCTCTTGGTTCCTCCATCCCTTCCTGCACAAGTGTGATGGGCACCCCTGTCATTCCTTGAGATCCTTCCTGTAGATTTAAACAAGAGGGGCCCTTCTCCCGGGTACTGCGCTGCAGAGGGAACAGCATATGGCAAACACATACACATCAAAAATTGTTGAGAAACACGTGGTTTTTCCATCATTCAGGATCCGGATGGTGCTCAGCTTTGGAATAGTCAATGCTTAACCCCAAAGATCCACTCTCGGGATTAACACTGTTCCAGCCCAAGGGACATAAATCTATCTCCACATCTTTTCTCTACGTGGCTTTCCCTAAAAGATTCCCTAAATAAAATGCAACTATCTGGATGCTAGGAGAAGTTCTGAGTTGTGTCATTACTGACACAAGGGAAAGCACTGCTTTATTCACAATGCAGAGCAATTTCAGTGGGCAGGTAAGCTGAGAGAAAAATTAACAAGTTTATTTTTATGGGCTGAATGGTGTTTCCCTAAAACTTATGTGTGAAAGCCCTGGCCCCCCAATATTTGGAGAGAGAGTTAATTCAAGAGATAATTAAGTTAAGAGGAGATCGTTTGAGTGGGCCTTAATCCAATAGGCTGATGTTTTTGAAGAAGAGGAATTCGGACATGGACACATACAGAGGGAAGAGCACATGGAGACCCAGGGAAGAGACTGCCATCTACAAGCCAGGGACTGAGGCTTCAGAAAACAGCAACCCTGCAACACCTTGATCTTGCACTTCTTACCTCCAGAACCACAAGGAAACAGATTTCTGTTATTTTAGCCACTCAATTTATGGGACTATGTTATGGAGCCTTTGGAAACTAATATACTTGCCAAGGTTCTTCTTCTCAGAGAGCATAACAAAATATCGGTTCCCAGTTGTGCCATTTTCTTGTTTCTTTTTTTTTTTAATTAAATGATAGCTGTGTACTTTAATGCAGTCATGGGGTACAGTGTGGTATTCTCATATACAATTTGACATATTTTCATCAAACTGGTTAACATAGCCTTCATGTCATTTTCTTAGTGATTGTGTTAAGACATTTATATTCTACTTTTAGAAAGATTCACTTGTACCCTTATAAGATAAACCATACATGTGACCCCTTGAATCACCCTCCCTCCACCCATCCACCCCCTTTTCCTTCCCTCCCCCTCCTCCATCCCCATATTCTTAGGCTATAATCTTGTTTCTTTTTGCGCTCTAATTTATGGTTCCTAGTAGCAGCCTCCCCTTCTGCCCTGGGCCTGTGTTAGAAAAGCCTCTCCCTGGCTTTGCTTTGGCTCTGCCCTTCCTCACGGGCCTAGTGGTGCAGAGGGCCAAGGTGTGTCTACCTGGACCCCATCACTCCTCTTGTTCCAGATTGCCCTGTCCAAATAGCCCTCCTTACCAGGGAAGATGCTGGCCTCTCCCCTGACTCCTTCCTCCTGAAGATAGACTATGCACACCCCAAGTCTCTGAGATGGCCCAGAGCATCTGTTTGTAGGTGATGGGCTCAGAGCTTACACATGTAGACTGGTGTCCATGTACAAGTATCCAAGACCCCGCATGACATAGAAAAAAGCTAGAGGTGGCAAGAGAGGAAGAGATGAAGTGTGGGGCTAGAGGCTGGGGCTGGAGGCTAGAGGCTGGAGGCCAGATTTACTTACACTGAGACCTTCTGACATGGTTCTCTGAGAAGCCAGGGAGCTCTAAACTTGAACCTGAACTTCCAATTAAGAAGGTATATTCATCAAGATCAGAAAATAGGACATATTTTGTTTTATTGTTTTTAATATGATTTATAACTTTTATATAGTTAGACACATGATACATGGGTCTTCACATCTTGCTTCAGACCCTACAAATGTTGGGAGCAGGCTTGGTGGTTCTAGAGGAACTCGTGAATTAGCATAGTATTTTCTACAGGTGCACAGGGAGACTAAGGCACATTTTGCAATATGGGACAATTCATACTACTCTTCAGTGTGTATGTGTATAATTCTAAACACAACGTGTGAAGCATGATATCAACTTTAATACCAACAATGAGGCAGATATTAAAATAGCAAATGACTGTGCTTTTATAAACATTTAATATGACTTTATTACAATTTTTTGAAACTCACAAATTTTGGCTTGTTTAAATTATTTGATTTAAATTTTTATTAGATTTTAATTATAACTTGCATTTGCTTTTACTTTTTTTTTTTTTTGAGATGGAGTCTCACTATGTCATCCTCCATAGAGTGCTGTGGTATCACAGCTCACAGCAACCTCAAATTTTGGGGGGCTTATGCGATTCTCCTGCCTCAGCCTCCCAAGTAGCTGGGACTACAGGTGCCCACCGCACTGCCTGGCTATTTTTTGGCTGTAGTTGTCATTGCTGTTTGGCAAGCCTGGGCTGGGCTCAAACCTGCCACCTCTGGTGTATGTCACTGGTACCCTAGCCACTTGAGCTACAGGCACCAAGCCTGCTTTTACTTTTAATGATTATTTTAAGTATGTCAGAGGAAGAATTCATTTTTTAAAATTTTTTTCTGTATAGAAGAATACATTTTAAACAAACATAAAATTTTATTTCCATAGCTATGATTTATATTTTAACAAATATAATTAGATTTTGTACACTTTGATTATACTTATGTTTTTGTTTTATTCCTATAGGATAAGCAGAAATTGAGATTATTATAGAAGCAAAAAGTGCAGTAGTGGAAGTGCAGAAAAGATATAAAAAGGAAAAAGAAGTATAACATCTTCAGAGAGGCAATCTGAATTTTTAAGAAGTGTACACCATGGAATATTATGCAGCCTTAAAGAAAGACAGAGACTTTACCTCCTTCATGTTTATATGGATGGAGCTCGAACATATTCTTCTTAGCAAATATCTCAAGAATGGAAGAAAAAGTATCCAATGTATTCAGCCCTACTATGAAACCAATTTATAGCTTTCATATGAAAGCTATAACCCAATTATAGCCCAAGAATATGGGGAAAGGAGAGAGGGAGGGTAGGGTAGGGGGGAAGGTAGGGGGAGGGAGAGTAATTGATGGGACCGCACCTGCGGTACATCTTACAAGGGTACATGTGAAATTTACTATATGTAGAATATAAATATCTTAACACAATAACTAAGAAAATTCGGTGAAGGCTAGTTAACCAGTTTGATGAAAATATTTCAAATTGTATGTAAAACCAGCACATTGTACCCCATGACTGCATTAATGTACACAGCTATGGTTTAATTTTTTAAAAAAGAAGAAGAAGAAGAAGTGGAAACAGGAAAAGTGAACAGGATTTTATTGAGTACGTCAATAAAATATTTGAATAAGACCTTGTAAATTCTTTATTTGAGGAAGATTTAGTTATCAGCTTATACAATGAAAGTTTGAAATGAGAAAGTTATTCTCATAAAATCTACAACTTGGGAGGAAGTCAGATGAAACCCCTACAAGTTCACATTCCTTATCAATGAGGAGTTAACTGCTGATGGGAACCATGACAACGTCTGTAGTTCTCCCCTCACACTTGAGTCCTCACAGAACTCTGACCCCACTCCCCTTCCCTGCCCCTAACATGTCCCGTGTGCTGCAGCTGGAGTGGACTAACTGATCCCTGTCCAGAAAACAGCCCTTCAGCAACTTGCCAACATGTGGAGCAGAGTTGCCTGTCCAAAGGAGCCCTGCCATCTGTGGCTGATCACACCAGAAGAGTGGAAGGTCCTGTGGCTGCGTAAGTTTGAGAGACAGGAGGTATGACCATTCATTATTTTCTGGCAGACTTCATAAAGATTATATAATACATTAATCCCTTGTTTGAATCTCCAGGCAGGTAACATAGTAGGCAGACCTCCCAGCCATTCCCACTGAACAGTCAGAACTGGGGATCTGGGAAAGCTCATCCACAGCTTCATTCCCCAATGTGGTAGCCACTAGTCACAGGTGGCACCTGAAATGTGACTAGTCGGAATTAAAACACATTCCAAATACAAAGCACCCTGTATTTCAAAGGCAGCACAGTGAAAAAAAGAAAATAGAGACTATCTCCATAATAACTTTTATATTGAATACGTATTGAAATGATATTATTTGGATACAGTGAGTGAAATAGAATGTATTACTGAAATTAATTGACCTCTTTTGTTTCACTTTTTTAATGAGGTTGGTTTACGTTTTATTTCTAGAGCTAGAGGACTGCATGGGAGAAGACCATCCAGGCTCTGGTGTCTGCCTGTCTCTCCTGCTCTCTCTCGATACCATCTCACTCTGGGCTCCAATTTCCCCAGGCTGTTTAAAGAAATCCCTCTCTGTTTCACTAACCACTGCCACCATCCAGCAGACAGCTTGACACCTTGCCTCTTTGCTCGTTGCCACTCCTGGAATGACACCTGGCCAACTCTCATTCAGTCTTTGCGTATCAGGCATCAGTTTACTCATTCAGGAAACGTCTCTGGAAATCCAGGCACACCCATCCCCTGCCCTGATTAGGTGCCCTTCCTCTCGGCACCTATAATTTCCTTTGCACACCTCTGACCTGAACTCATGCCATGGTTTTATAAGCATCTGATTGTGTATTTCCCTTCCAACATATTAAGAGCATCTTGAGAGCAGAGGTAGGTCTGATCTGTTTTTATAGTCCTAGTGCCTGTCACAGTGCCTGGTATTCTAAGCCCTCCATAAACGTTTAGTGGATGAGTGAATGAATCAACAGTAAAGCAGACTTGGCTTTTTCTCTAAAGCAGAACAATCTAGAAGAAGATACAGACATGTAAATACACAGTTAAAATGTGTTGCTTTAAGTTGTGTTATAAATGACACAGTTGTAGGGACATTCTGAGCAGAGAAGCTGAGAGCTTTGGTTTTGCAGGTGTATGATCCATGCCCTTAGAGGGCCTAGTGCTTAGTCTAATGCACTGTGGTCACTGTCTTAAAATTCTTAATTGCCTTTTTGTTTGTTTGTTTGTTTTGGCCAGGGCTGGGTTTGAACCCACCACCTCTGGCATATGGGGCCGGCACTCCTTGAACCACAGGCGCCGCCCCTCTTAATCGTTTTTCATCGAGCAGCTGCACATTTTTATTTTGCTCTGGGCCCTACAAATTATGTAGCTAATCCTGCACTAACCCATGTGGGGCTAGGATGTGTTTGGAAAGTTGGGGAGGAGGGTCTCCCCAAAAAAAATCATCACTAGAATTGCTAAATACAGTGGGGCTGGGAAAGGGGAGACTGAGGGAACCAATCAAGAGAAGGGCGCTGCCTGCACAAAGACTCAAGAGAACAAGAGCTCAGGTCCAGCAGCTCATCCCCGCTGCAACTCAGCAGACGGTGGGAACAGCAGTGGGGCTAATGTCATGTTTTGGAGTGGACGTCATACTGAGGACCATGTGACTCTGTCTCAAAAAAAAAAAAAAAAGAGAGAGTAATGTGTTTAGATTTGCATTTTAGAAAACCAACCTTAGGACAGTGTTAGAATCTTTTCCCCATTTTGGTATTGGTAAGGGGGACGGGGTAAAGAGATCAGAGAACAGAAGAAGAGACACTAGGAAGAGTCTCTTGGTAGCCCAGGTGACATGAAACCAGCATGAGCTAAGACCTTGCTGTAGGACGGACAGAAAGACTCCACAGGGCGGGCAATCCACAGCATGTAGGAGGTATAGGAAGGGGAGGGGGCAGGATGGCCCCAGACGCCAGTGAATCAAATGTTTCATTTTGCTTTGTTTTCTATGTACAGACTCTTTTCTTTGTGTATTTTCTTGCCAATGGGGCATGAACAAACTCCACATATCTAAATGATTATCTTTTTATTCCTCAGCTATTGTGTCATCCAAACATGGATGTCTTAGTAACTGAATGTTACAAGTTGTCTTAGTAACTTGAATGTTTTTTCTATGAATGGGATTTTTGCTACCATCTTTCAGAGAACAGGCTGGTTCCTGCTCGCAGGGTGGGGGGTAAGCTGGTGCAATGGCAGTAGCAGACCTCAGCTTCCTGGTGTAGAGTGAGTACCTAGCAGGTGCCCTCTGCTTCCTTAACACCTCACAACAGCAGCCCTTCACGGAGATCATTTTCCTATGTTTGGAGGCAAGGAAAGGATGACTCAGGTTAAGAGTGAGCTAATACAGTAAAAAAGAAAACTTTCAAACCAAAAAGTAGAAAAGCAACGAGCAGAAAAGTTTCAAAGCAGTTTTCTGACTTCATGTTCTTCCATACTTTTCCCATCAAAGGCCCCTCGCCTAAAGGGACTAAACAAGAAAAGCTGAACAAACGTTGGAAGTATTAGCTTCCCCTTCTTCTTTTTCTTCCTTTGCTCATCATCTTTGTGGTCATCGTCTTAGAGATGGCTGAAAAAGAACATAAACAGTAAACAATGTGAGTAAAAGGGAAGGGAATGGCCAGAGTGGAAGGGTTATGGTATTTGTTAAATGACTACTGAGGCCAAAAAGACTTGGGCAGGATGACATCAACGTGGCCATGGAAAAGTGTGGAGAATCGCAGCGGTAAAGGTGAGTGCACCTGCCTGGTCTCTCCCGCCATCACGTTCCCTATTCTCTTTCTTCATAGCATTTATGCCTTTTCATGGCATCATCTGAGACTATTCTTGCTATCCTGATATTGTTACTGTGTACTATTATCCTGTTCCTGCATTAGACAATCAACCCCTTTGGGCAAGAATTGTGGTGTTTTGTTTAAAGCTATATCCCCAGAGCGGAGGAAAACATTGGTGAATAGTAATCACTCAGTAGATATTTGTTGAATGAATGAATGAATGATCATCAAAAAGCCAGGCAATCAGAGGAAAATAACTTTTAAGCAATGTAGAATAAACAAAATCTAGCAGAATTTAATTGCTTTACTTACTAGCTGTGGTTATGGAAGGCTATGTATAATTAATACTTGAAGGGTAAGTTTGCCATTTGTTTTCCTACTGCTGACACCAGGAATCCTAAAAACATAAAAGGAAGTCTTACTAAACCCTGGAAGAGAGACAGGCAAGTGATCTGAGAGTGGGGAATGTTACAAAGATTACTACGTCCTAAATCACTATAAAGGAACCTTATAAAGCCACATTATATTTTACTGTTAGGCCAATGTTAACTAAATTCTCAGAGAACTTTTAAGTCGTGTGAGAACTCTCATTTTATTGAAGGAAATCGTAACTGTTAACAATTTGTGCTTTGGCTCAAAATTCAGGCGCCAGCCAGTCAAACTGGAAACAAGACCATTTTTGTTTATGGACAGTAAGCCCTTCACTCTGTGAACTTCTTCACTCTTTTATCCCTTTGTGGATCTTTTTTGATACTATGTACTTTTTAATAGAATTAATTTTATAGAACTGGAATCTGAAAAGCTCAGAATCGTGGCTTTCACAGATAAATAACGTTTTCAAGCGAAAGGATGAAGGGGGATGAATGAAGATGTAGATTCCAAGTTTGAAACAGTCCATTTACAAAGAGTTTTTTAGAGTATCACCATTTTATAAGCTGAAAACATTCTGATTTCAGGGTGGCGGCTGTGGCTCAAAGGAGTAGGGCGCCAGCCCCATATGCCGGAGGTGGCGTATTCAAACCCAGCCCCAGCAAAAAACTGCAAAAGAAATTCTGATTTCATATTTAATAGGCAATATCTTAGAAACCATTCGTCATACACTAAATTTCCTCCAACTCATCGGTATTTAACTGTTGCCTCTTAGGAATTCCTTCTTCTATGAAACTATGTCATCTTAAATTTTCATTTGGCAGTTCTGTGAACAAATAAATAACTGGTACCTCTAACAGCTGTCAAATTAGCTTTTGTCCCCAAATTTACTTTGCCATTTAATACAGTCGTTCCCTCCTGCAAAATCAAATTCCCTCTTACATGCTTGCTTTCTTTCCCTTTGCAGATATTAAAACATCACATATCCATCCTTCATAGCCTTGGCTTATATATTTTGCCTACGTTCTTCCTTGTATTGTATAGTCGGAAGAGAAGCTATTCATGCAGGGACATGAGTGTACAGGCCAGTCCTTCTCTACCTTCCTCCCACCAGCAGCACTTCTGCCCGGTCTTCCAGTGGCCGTAAGTTTGTCTAACCACTTATCCACAGTTCCCTTTTCCTGGGCCCTCCCAACACCAAAAGTGACAGCCTTGCGAGAAAAATAACAAGCCGGTTTTCATCGACAGCCCCTAGGTTGGGTACGGACACCAGGTGACTACGCCATGGGTTGACTCACCTTGAAGGGCCCTTACCGACCCACAATCCGTCATCATCACTGTCTAATTTATAGACCATGGAACATTCTGTCCATCTGGTTAGAAAGGTGACTCATATTGTTGGGTGTTTTTTCCCCCAGAAAAACAAACATTCCGTCTGTTTCATTTTGAAGTGGAATGTGAGGCATCAGTTGCTGAGAACTTTCACCACTGTGATTGAGAAGAGTTTTCCTCTGGTAAGAAGCTGAGGTCATGCTGGAGAAGCGTTTAGTAATAGCTATTTGTACTTTTGTTTTGTTTTGCCAGCTCTTGGAGATGGCGCTGCCTCGGGATTTGTCTGTATTGAATTCTAAGCATAATTGGGAAATGAGTTCAAAATCCTAGCAAAGATCTGGCTTTTTTTTTTTTTTTTTTTTTTTTTTGAGCAACAGTCCACTGGAATGAGGAAGTGGGAGGTAAGATACAAAGTAACTATTTGGTTCTATTAAAGTCACAGAGCCAAATTGCTAGCTATTCTATGTTAAAAAGTAGTCTTCGGTTTCTTAATCACTAGGATGTTGGACAAACATTATTATAAGAATTCCATCTTTAAAAAAGCAAGAAGAAAATTCTGTTACCACATCATTCTAGAAAATCTGCTTTGATTTTCCCTAGGTTGAGTATTTATGCCTGTGGCTCAAGCGGCTAAGGCACCAGCCACATACACCTAAGGTGGCGGGTTTGAATCCCCAGCCCGCCTACTATATTTCTTTTTCTTCTGTCTTCTCAATGAGATTGTCAAGAATAGGTGTATTTTTTCTTAAATGTTTGGTAGAGGCTTGG